AATAACTGTTTACGGGAAGAACTGGCTGGACCAGTACATGCCCTCCGTATCGACGCCTACGCCACATCACAGTTCAGTAGTAAATCACCAAGGGCTTCATCACCAAAATGCGCTCATATTCATACAAAACGTTTTCCCGAATAGTACTATACGGTTCTCGAAAGCACTCTAGTAAAACGTGATGACGTTCAGTGGTAATATTTGTATGCACAAATGTAAGAGGCTGGACCGAAAAATTAATTGCGCTTTGTTGTTTAAAAGTCCATTAAGTTATTCCTCAAGTCCATATATGGTATTATCTTCGGACTAATGCTTTAGTTATACTATGAAATGATCATGATCGAATTAATACTGACTATTAATGAGAAATTATGTGGAGTAAAATCATTTGAAAGCGCGATATTTCCAGTATATCAAGTTAGAACTATGTTTGATGGGATGGCTGACTCCTTGATGTCAAGTAAATATGTTAATTTAATTTTAGACTTATAATGTTAGACGAGAAAGTAAGTACTGTTCTATATTCCGAAGTTAACTGTGTTGCTAGTTGCATAGAGGTTCAAGTGCGATAGTTGGACAGAGACAGCGCTATGGAAGGGTTTCAAGCTGAGACTTAATTGAACAGTGTCTTCAGAAATATACTAATATCTGAATAATCCAGTGACACTAATATCTTTCGGTGATATCTGCAGTTTACAATATTGTTGACGATTACAATATTGCGATATTTTTTAGAATTCTGCACACTGATTATTACTTATCAGTCTACCAGTTCAGTTGTTCTTATAACAAGTTAGTCTGTTTGAAGATCTGCTGTGATGGTCAGCGATAAGTGGGCCAAAAAATGCAGGTTTCAACTCGTACACTTTGTCTCCATTGGCATTCCCCTTCTTCCAGGCATTCTGTAATTAGCTGGGACGGTCTGTTTCAACAAGATAACGATTTGGGATAGCATCAGTTCATACCGTTCCATTGAGGTCTCCAGAACGCCTGCGTGAAAATGTGGAGCAGCTTGTGGTCCTTTCGGAGGTATCTCTGAGATGGGAGTTATAGGGGAAGAAGTTAGAGTATGGCTCGTAATTTGGAACTCTAGGTGTGTTTGTTGGTCAGTTTACTCTCAACTTTGAATGGGAAAATCTTATACTGGTTTATCCTTCTCTCTATAATTCTTAGATGGCGTGCTTTTATTCCATCGGATGTTTTATCGCTTCTATTAGATCACTAGAAGAAACTCACCTAATCATGATTTCTTAATTTGAATTCAATTATTTGTAGGTTCACGCATCATGGCAATGTTGTCGAGACTATTCTGTGGATCATCATCACTGCAGCTACTTAACAATGTTGCTTTTCGTTACTTTTCGAAAACGACCTACAATACTGCGAGATATGCCGGACGTCGAGTTGCTGAAGGAGTTAGTCATTGAATTGAAAATTGATTAATTGCTGAAAATTGAAAGTTAAACAAGGAATGGCGTATCATCACAAATAATTTATTGTTTTATCGTAGCTAAGTACCGTGTATTATAGTGTGTTGGATGATTACCAGGGAGTTCATGTAGCGTTGCAGTTTTGATTTTCAAGCAAAGTCCTTCTGTTACTGTAGTTGATATTTCATTGAATCCATTCCATCCTTACGACGACTTATTTTCTAATTACCGGAATTTATATTTCATTCACTGCCATAACACTTCTTATTTTAGAAGTTTTCGAGAGACTAACGTCATTTATTTATTCAGAATTACGGTATTGGAAGCGCTACACGTACAACTCTGAAAGAACGTTTCATGGGACCTACTACAGGAAAACGTTTGTTGAAATTTTCGCAGCTTGAAATCGTATCATTCTTAAGATTGCTTTGTACTTTTGAATTTAATTTTGCATGTTCTTTATTTTAGGAGTTAAAATTGTTTTATTCTAGCATATATGTATGGAAGTGCAGTTGTAGCTGGGGCATCATTACTTGGAGTTGGTGCCTTGTGCTATTACGGACTGGGTCTTTCGAAAGAAGGTCAGAGCATCTTAGTGCAGTCAGGGTTAGTTGCCTTTTTCTGCGCATATAATCTTTTCGTGCCTTATATCTGCCATTATTTGAAGTATGAAATGTAAACGCCTATTTTTGCACTTACTTAGTTCTCGATAAGCTTCTTTTCTTCAGTTCATTCACTCCTACTTCTTTCTGCATCTATCGCAATATTTTTTTGTACCTCTATAAAAATCAAAAAGAGTTTGCATCGACTTGCGTTCTTCAGAATTTTTGAAAAACCAGGTTGTTATACTTTCCATAGCCACATTACGGTCTTTGTTAAAAACCTTTGACGAATATATGTTATTTCTAGTTGGGTGTCATCATCTTTTTTCTTTACTCAAGTTTCGAGAGCTTAACATTTCTAAAAGTACAGGAAGAATTGTAATAGTTGCTGAAAGAAGTAGGACTGCATAAACTGTAAAAATAGAAGGTAATGGAAAGGCAGTTCTTGTGTGCTTGAGACAGCGTTTGTTTAGAGCTTGGCCAGTATATGTGCGCGATCGTATAAAGGCTACATATGGTTATTTGTTTGCATCGCTTGGGATAACAGCAGCTTCAGCTGTAATGACATCAAGATCGTTTCATATTTCACGTTTGATAATGGGAGTAGGCTGTTCCATCTTTATTCATTGGCTATTTTTTCTTTTTCCAAATATGACTTTTTCCAATTATTTAATTTTTTTCAGTTGAATCAAATAAGCAAACTGCACTGCTTTATTTGCAAAATTTTTAGAATACTGTCATAAACAAGTGGTATCCCATGATTAAGAAGAGTCTATTCAAATATTGTGGAAATTTTATATTTAATTCAATAATCCTAGTGTTGCTCACCGCAGATTAGATGCACTGAGTGTTGTTCTCATGAAAGGATATACGGCTACAGATGGCTTACATCTTAAAGCCTACATATCAGTACCATATACATATTGAATTTTTAGCTATCACTGCTTGTATAACAAATTACCAGACCAAATCGGGTTTTGTGATTTGTATTGTAGTTTTAGAATAAAAAATACTTGGGAAGTCTTTCTTATTGCGGAAATCTAACTTATTTGCATGCAAAACTTTATTGGGCGCTTCTGTGAGTCAACGTAAAGATGTAGAATCTGAGGAGGATAAATATATAGGATCTAGTGATGCTGGATTGATTTGAAGAAAATCAGTTTTATTATTTTCTTGCTCACTTACTATTTTTCCAATTTAGTCGCCCTTTATCTCAATGGCGGCTGTAATGGCAAGCGGTATCGCAGTATCATTGATCGATTACGACAATACTTTGCTGAAACATGCAGCTTGGATTCTGCATGCGGGCATGATGGGTACCTTCATAGGTCCAGTCTGTTTGATGGGTGGTCCCTTGGCTATGCGGGCTGCTTGGTATACTGCAGCTATTGTCGCAGGTATTTTTTTTTTAAGTTTATGGACTTTTTAGCTTTAAATAGAAATACAATAAATTTCAACATCATAGTAGTGCGATGGTTTTTATTCGGTTGACGTAATATTTTGCGGAAGTGCGGCATCATATGGCTAATAATTGTGTATGTTAGTAACTGCTCTCTTTCACTGATTCTGATTTCACGCAATTTACGAGCACTAAAAGAATAATGTCGCCACGTTCTTTATTTTACAACATTGTATTAATGCTACTAACATACAATTACTATTATTATTACGACTGAATACTGAGAATGTACATTTTTTAAAATACCCTATTAAAATTTTTATTAAATAAGCTTTAATTCCATGACCATGTAATTCGAAATCGATTCAGTCATTTCCCCAAACAAAAAAATAAACACCAAATCGGGAGTTTTCAGGACTGTCAACAGTTGCTTTCACAGCACCATCTGAAAAGTTCCTGATGATGGGAGGCGCTTTAGCTATGGGACTTGGTGTTGTTTTTGCATCATCTATTGGAACTTTTTTTCTTCCTCCGACATCTGCGCTGGGTGCAAGTATGTTTTACGAATTTTTTGATAAAGTTAACGCTCAAAACTAAAAACTTGAAATCTTTGGCTATTGCTAAATGATATTCAATATATATTCATTTGGAGTTTAAGAAAAAAATTGATATTTCTAGGTCTGATGTCTATCTCCATTTATGGCGGTCTGATTCTCTTTTCACTATTTTTGTTGTTTGACACACAATTAGTTATCAAACGGGCGCAGATGTATCCGATTTCGAACACAAGTGAAGAGCAGATTTACAAGACGGGGTATTACGGCAGTATTGCTTCTGGGTATTATGATATTACTACACCAAAAATGCGTCGATTTGATCCAATCAATGCGTAAGTTGTTTCACGATTCTTATGTTTCAAACGTGTGAAGTTGTTATGAGTGGTATACTGTTGTGAATGAGGTTGGGAAGTAATAACTAAGTGCAGATCAGTATATAAACACGTTTTTTTTGTCCTCTATACCAAACCTAAAAAACAGGGTTATTTTAAGCTGAAAACGTAATAAAAGTTGGTTTGCCCATTTTTTGAATGTCACCATGCATCGCATTTCAGACAGTTGTCCATTTACTCAGATGTCTTGAACATTTTTATTCGATTGGCAACAATAATGATGGGGATGCAGAGTAGTAGAAAACGATAATTGACACACTTCACACATATAATATTTCCTTTCTTACTGGTAAAATATCATGCAGTCATATATACATTTGTAAAAATCAGTGTGATAACTAAAATATTAGTTTTTGAGCAGTGGTTATATTTTTGACAAAGATTTTTCAGAAATTCGTTCAGTGTAATTTATTTCTTCTCTTTTTTCAAAAGTGATATCTGTGCACCACTGCTCAAATTTACTGGTCATAAGGTCATTTCCAGTAGCCGTATTAATCGACTTTCCAATCCTGATAATTCATACTAATCCGTGTGGCTACATATTTCCCTTCATGTTTCGAAATGCAGCATATTTCGGGCATTATTTTGTCGAGATAAAACTGATCACATAATTTACATACTAGCTTATGCTTGCAGTGAAATGAGGCTCCTGTATTGCCCAATGTTGCTTTTGATTTCATTGAAAGTCGAACTTGTCTTTAAGACCAAAATAATCGATACTATCTTCTTTACAGAATATTGCGAAGAAAAGACTTTAGTGATAGTTCCGTTTGCAAGAACAAATATTGATTATGTATAAATAAATGTAAGTAACGAAACGTTGAAGTTTATGATCACATGGAAATGTGCGCATAAGATTCTTTGGTTATTGATGCAAGACGCTGGTAAATTTTGCATGATTAAAACAAATGAGGAGGATATTAAACAGCTTGCAGCCAGCCATAAACATATTTCTGGAAAAAGCGGAATTAGTTTAATTTGATTGCTCTGAATTTTGGGACTAGTAAGGTCAAACTATTTTTGCTGGATTTGTTTTAGAAAGTGTGTGTTACTGCACTCGGAGGACCTCATAGTACCTCGGTATATGTTAGATATCTAGATATCGATGCATAAAATCAACCTGGAAAAAAGATTAAAAAAAAATGTCCCGTTGGACCTCATGTAGGTTGACGTCTGGTGCACACGGTGTACTCCTGATTGTCATAAATATTCGGTAATACGTTTTTTTAAATCTCAAATTGGACTGGAATTTTGCTGTTTGTGTTTTAATGTATTTTCTCCATTCGTCCGATATTGGCACGTTTCGGAAATGGAAAATTTGAAGTATTATTTATTTGACGATAGCGCGTCATCGTGCACCAGCCACTACTGTATCAATGTATAATGGTTGGTTAATTTTATCAGTTATCTACAGAATTATTCTGTGGTCAACCTACAGCTCCTTATTTTACTTATTGGATGGACGACCACAGTATGACTTGATATGGCGCTATATCAGAACTAAAAAATTATGCGAGCACTGATTCATTTTGCATGAGTCACATATACTGTGTATTCTGATATTCACTGGTTCTTACTCGTCAACATAAATTCCTACGACTTGTATTGAGCCCAGAAATGATTTTGAATGTCTAAGTCTTGGATTTTTCAATTTGCAATCTCTCTTACATCTCTCCCTCTCTTCTTGCATGGAGTTTTTAGTGAGATTTACCAAAAGTGTTTCTAAGCCATTTCCATAGCTTATGGGTGATAATGAATGACTGACAACCGTTGTTTTGAAATCATTAGATTGATGGCATATATTTATCGTACTATATGCAAAGATTTTAGTAGTGGAGTGGATGATAAGGAACTGCAGATGGAGTTGAATTGAAGGCTAAAGGAATGAATGATATGAGTGATGGGATAGAAGACGAAGTTTTGTATGCTATGCTTTAGTCTGATCAACAACCAGAGATTATTCACTTAACCGAAATGAATATGAATATAAACAACTATCGAATATGTGGAAAGTTCTACAGATATACAACTGTCAGATTAAAAGTGCATGAAATATGCAACTGTCAAAGGATATAAGGGAATGTTTGAAGATCCGCGGGAATTATTGTCAATACAAAGAGGTGAAAGTTGTGATGGAAAGATTTTTAAAAATCACTATCCACAAAGAAGAAGAGGAAGATCTCGCAAGTCTCTTCAATCCCAAGCCTTTATTAAGTTGACACAGTTATGTGAATTCCATTCATATAAAATTCTTGATCATAGTCTTAAATTTAACAAATTGGAAATTCGTTATCAAGGGTGGTTGTGGAGCTGAAAAAGTTTGTAACTTTTTCTTTATAGCAGACAACAATAGGTCAGCAACCGCAGCGTATTAGAATGCTTAGACGAATTTGTTAATATTTTTTTCAAAAAAATGTATAAACTAAAGGCAGATTATTTCGAAATATATCTAAGTTTAAAACTATTCCAAAATCGTAGGTGAAAAAAACTATCACTATTTTAAAACAAAAATTTTAGATATGCATAATTACTTCTTATTAATTATTTTGGATGAACGTGAGTACTGGAACTAAATTTAATAATTAACGGACGCAAATACAATCCTTTTTCTTCCAGCTATATTAGTACAGGACGGTGAAATGGTTGAAAATATGCAAAAATCAAACAAAAATCTAGTCCCATCTTTTTCCAATATTAAGCCTTTCAGTGGTGTGATTGATCCTTAGCAAAATTCTTCTACGCTTATGCGCAAATAAATATCGCAAATGGTTTGATGGATACTCCAAGATTTACGTATTAATCCAAATTAATTGAATTCCAATATACATTACTTACAAGCAATAGCGAGTGGACAAATGACATAGCCTAATTCTATTAACACACTAAGTGAACAAAATGCTAGATAAGCAATAATCATCACTATTCCGAATATTTTATTCATTTCCCATCGACAGATTTTCACAGCAACTATTAAGACAATCAGCATCAGAAACAAAAGACCAACAGAACAGATAAGGCCTTTTGAAACGACGGGTATAGTGCCCAAACGGGAATTTGATGATGGCCTGGTCAGCCAACGAATTGCGAATTGCAACAACCAAGGAATTGGCAATCTGCAATTATAGAATTTCGATTTCTTTTTCAGAAATAATGCTTCATAATTGTGTTTCCTACGGAAATATTATATGAACGTACCCGACACAAATGTCGAAAAGATTGCTTCCTATGGAGCTTGACACAGCCATGTCACCAAGTCCTTTACGAGCAACGATTACACTGAAATGATTTATTTTTATTTAGACAAGTAATCTGTGTAATATTAGGAAAAATTAATTCCATTTTAATAAAAGACAAATATGAACATAGTAAAACTTTGAAGTAAACCTAGATAATAAAACTCTAAAGAAATTTTAAAATGTAGATCTTCCCTGATTAGTAAATTCAAGACACATACTAAACAATTCTCTCTTTTACTGAAAGAAAAGTGTTGCGCACATAGATAAGTAATAATTGGCAATACTTATTTCCTGATTTAGCCAGGAATTTTTCATAAATTTACGTCATAAATTAAACACATTAACGATTGAACCTGGAAATGAGATCAGATACGCTTGTGCCAGCAGCTAACACCGTCAAACCCATTATCTAAATGTATAAATTTGTAATAACACTGCTGATCTCTTGATTTCAAAAATAAGAATGAAAAATTGATTCGTTTCAGCACTGTTATCTGAAATAGCTAGAAAGAAACCAAAATACAGTACTGACAGAATAAGTACAAGCGTACCATTAAAACTTTTGGCCAGAGCTCTAAAATTAAACGAATATCGCTTCTGATCTTTAGATGTTAGCCAAAAACATTAGCCAAAAAAAGACCCATCATATAAATCAGCAATATTATTCATCTAATCCTAATTCCTACGTTACATTATTTGATTTATGAAATACTTTCTAAGTCGAAGGCACTTTAATCATTTTTTTCTAATACTTAACTAAATGGAAAGTAAAAAAAAAATTCGAGAGAAGCTGCAGAAGATTCATGAATTAAAAAACATTAAAAACTGTTATGAGGTTTAACCATGGAAACTATGAATATAAAAAAAGGCGAATACCGTGCTATCGCATCAATTTAATTAATTATTACTGGCGCAGATGGCAATCTTACGAAGTCGAAAAAAGAATTGATCAAACAAATTTGCAAATATATGCAACACAATCACATTGTCAGTCATAACGCGTGAAATGTGATGATAATATGGTACTGTGATTTTAACTTTAAAAAAGCTCTGTTACCTCATCCGGTACATTTAATGTTTCACCGATTACCTTTGCCCACCAAACCATCAAATATGAGAAAAAACCAATCCATAAAATTGATCCCATGAAAGTTATCACAAAATACTTCCTGGATGACTGAAAATAATGGGATAGATATCAAGGTAAAAGTTCAAGATGTTTTACCTACCATTATATAAGTCCAAAAAAAGAAAACGGATGGATATTAGTAAAATATCCACCTCATTTCCTCTAAAAATTGCTCAGCACTTTCTCGAGAAATCTTTCGAGCAAAAAATGATAAGTTGCGTCTGCTTTGGCTCTTTGATAACTACCTTTGGTCACATTTTCTACTTCTCTTCCTCATACTCACTTGCAAGAATCTTTCCTACCTGCCGGTTTCTTTCCACCGAATTAACTTACGGAATTTCTCGAATCTGGAAGTGTGTAATAAAGTGGAAGCATAATTGGCGCCAAAAACAGATAAGATAACCGTGCTTTAGTGGAAGATGGCCACGAGATGTTAATCGGTATTTCCGACTTATTAGCGCTTTCTTTCAATACTGCGCACGTCTGAACAAAAGAAATTTTGGCTGAACTGGGTGTCGGTAGAGCCGAAAAAATGTTATGAGTTGTTTTAATTAGAATTCAGAACATTTTTCAGACAAATGATTTATTACATCAAATTAATAGAATAAATATTTTGATGTCTAAAATGATGAATCATTTATCCAAATCCAACTTTTCCAATTTTTTAACCAATCTTAATTGCAATGTTCAATGTTGCAGACAAAGCCCTTTGTTGTAAACTTTTTCCAATCTTCTAATTAAGCTTACATGCAATTGTCGGAATGTCTTAAAGAACATATGTGCAAATGTCGAAATTTTAGAATCTCTAGTGTGCCACCTAAACCAATGTGTCTGGAATGTTAAAGCATTCCCATTATATAAGGAGGTAGGATCAGTCATCCTAACGGTCACTTATCAAGTCCAAAAGCTCCTGCAGTTACGCAATCTGACAGCTCGCTCAATCACTCAATAGGGCAGCTCGTGCAAGCATTCTAGGCGACAGCTTAGTCAGGCGTTCAATTTGACAACGGTTCAACGGCAGAGAAGCGGCAATTCAACAATTCAAAGTAGGAGCGAAAGACTGTTTGATATCCTTTAATATTATTTATTGTATATTGTTCATTTCGTCCCCATCATTATTTCAGTGCGATATTTGTATCATATCATATAAGACTAATAAAGGTTAGTATTGACATTGCGGAGTTAAAACAATAAAAAATAAATTACAAAATCTTTCCCTGCCACTGGGACAAACTGATATTTTTGTAGGGCATTGGCTTATTCTTATTCTCCATGTTTCATTTTTCTGCTTATTGCTCCAATTTTTTCCTTTCTTCTAAATTTTAAATATTTTGATTTTTTTTGAAAATTTATATAAAAAAGTTAAATGTTAAAATGACTTCGCGAATCCTAAGTCATAGATTAATAGAATAAACCTGGAATGAAAATGAAAATGCAATAAATACATTTTACCTCATATACAACAACTTTTTCAGAATATCTAGGGATTTGTCGAGTTATTTCACAATTTGTTTCATTCATCAATTCTGTTATCGATCCGGGAAGCTGAAACTTGGGCAACCTTGAAACAATCGTATATTGTAATTATCAAAATGGTTCTATTTAAGAATATTTCTTCCTCCAATTTCGATAAGTCATTTTGTCAGCGTGTCATTTCATCGATAAACTTAGAACTTCTAAAATTCAGACGGTTTGACAAACTAATTGAAGAAATTTTAGTTGCAAAAACTAAATAGTATTCCTCAACTTGCCTCAACCTCAGGCATAGCATTTGAGATTTTATTTTGACAATTTTTTTGCGTCACATTATGCAATATTGCTGTTGTCATTTTAGTGAATTCATTTGAATCTAAAAAATGATTTTTCAGGAGTCAATGATTCAAATTTCTTATTTATTGAGACTATTCATTGTCAACAAATTTTGCAACACTGCTTGTTGGCCGCATTTGCCTTATTTGTGATATCATCAAAAAATGAAGAAATAAACTTTTAACTGCATACTAAATTAAATGGGTTTTAATTAACTCCAGCCAATTACCGAATATGTTTCGACACCTTTTAATTATAAAAAAACTTAAAACTTATGCTGAAATTCACAAACAAAAACCTTTTACAGAGTGGGAAACTTTCGCCACTGCAGCCCTATTTTGCATCGAAATTGATTTCATTTGCTTCACAGCAATGATAGATGGTGAAGGTGTTGCTTCTTGTATTGATATATTATTCAGAAGTGGAAACCATAAATGCTGGAAATGAAACTGGAAGAATATTTGGGAGATCTAGACAAGGAATTAAAATTCATCACAATATCAATTTTTTAATATTAATTTGTGAACAAAGGATAAGGAAAGGTTATATGAAGAATAATGGGACTTAAAATTATTAACTTGAAATTATTCTTTAATCCACAACTTAGCACACAACAATTATCGACCTGCGACGTTTTGTACAGGATAAGTTTAAAAATTTTTTGCAGCTGTCTGTTATAACTCATAACAACACCATAAATAATATAAATAATGAAGAGTGACATCGCTTCGTACCACTGAATTTCTTCGTCCAGGAAAAACAATACAAGTAAAAACAATGCTAATATGTAGAAAAAAATATCTCTGAAATAACTGATTGACGACAGTTCAGCGAAATTAAGTTTTGTGCATATGTGATCATTTTATAGTGGTCACTACTTGATTGTAAGCTAGGTAATTAGTTCTTGAAAAACTGACCAATTTCGAATGAGTGAAATATTTATACAAAATTATAAGTCTTCTTGTTTTGAAATAAATGTGAATCATACCTGAGCATGGGCCACCAAGTAATTTTAAGTATTTCTAGTGAGAAGAATGTACAGAATGCCAATACACATAGAATATTGAATGTGGCACTGCCTTAAATGATTCGTTTTCTTTCCATTTAATGAATTTAGAACTTGTTTAATATGTTATTCAATGCAATAAGCTTATGTCTGGAGTTCAAGAAAATGAGAATGTGAATGAAAGAGAGGAAGAAGAAGAGAAGAAACGAAGAACTGGTGTTCCAAATAGGTTCTCGGATTTTTGATTAATAAATTCAGGATGCATAACACGAAGGACTAATTCATTAAAGTTTTTAAGGGAAGAACTGAATGCGTTGGGAAGTAAAATTAATCTCACCAACAATGGTCCCAATGCCGACATTATTCTGAGTAATAAAAACACCAAATAAACTGGCAAAAAATTCAGGCGCAGAACCACCGGCAGCCAGAAATGTAGCACCAGCAACATCGCTCGATATTGATAGCTGTAATAATTCATCACACTGGTAATGATCGGGTAATTAAGTTAGTGTGATAGGAATAAAAATTAAGTTGGAAATCGTGGAAAGTTTGTGACTTGTAACAAAAGTGAGTCATCTTAATAATTCCTGAATTTTTTCATATTTTTAGATTTCCAATAAGTTGTTTTCATTCATCAAATCCCAGATTTTGGTAGATTAGTTGAAATTTTTGATTAGAAATCATGATTTTGAAAAAATAAGAAATTCTGATTGGACTGTATTCAGACTGATCAGATTTTGTGATATATTTTTCTTTTTGAATGAATGAATGCGAAAGATATCTGAATAACTTGTAAACAATGGATGATTTTTTCCATTCAAATGTCCACACTTTTCGTGATTTGGAAAAGTTTTTGACAAAGTCTCGCACCTTCACTATAATTACACTAAGTGAGGGGACGAAAAATTCATCGGAAACGATGGAAATGGCGATAAACATATAAATGAGACCAAAGAAATGCAGAAAAAGTGCACCACGACGACGTTGCTCCAGTGTAAAATAGTCAGTCGGGAAAAAACTGGAACTTGAACCTGGAAATTGAATTTCAATTTTCTGGCGTTAACCATTGAAGTGGAATTTTTAATTATTTGATACGAAGGTAAAAATTAACCACTGGAACTGGCTGCTGAATGGAAGCAATGATCGGTGCTTGCTATAGTGAGCAGTCGACGAAATTTGAACAACCGGACAAATGGTGAATTCTTTGAAACCAATAATTCATGTTTACTTTTTAAAGAAGTGACAACTTTATACCAGTTACTCCTCTTTGATTTAAGCAACCTGAATTTGGGACTTCAGAATAAACTTTAAAAAACAAAACGATGAAGTAATAATCCATGACAGCGCTATGTCCGAAATTTCCAAAAAAATCGAGAAATAATTTTGAAGAAAATAGATTTTCTACTTAAAAAAATCACAAATTCTGAAATTTGGAACAAACCTCAAATAGATTCTTGAAGTTCACAAAATCTTCGAGAATTGATATTTTAAAGTTGACACTAAATTTTCACAACATAGAAAGAAACAATCGGAACTGTGTTTCAGATGCAGAATATATTAAGATTTTTGTGCGTGTTATATGCCTTAATCAGGCTCACTTCTTATCTACTGATTTAGCATGTTACCTTAGGCCTTCGTCCATCTTAACGCCCATTCTAACTCGGAAATCAAGTGGATATTTATCAACCAGTAGTCGTTCTTTCGCACTTAACATATGATACGTCGCATGAATATATGATATGGTGCAAAAAGTAGCGAATAGAATCAATATAATACAGACTAAATAGAATAAAAATGCTGGCAAACAGCTGTTATTGCGCGAAAGTGTCATAGAATGTATATGAAACTTAAATTTTTGAAAATCTTCAAAATGACCTCACACTCTTCCAACTCAAACCAATCATACCTGCAACATCGGTGAGCAACGAAAAAGGAATATTGTGACCAATACTGATCGCTTCAGCTTATTACGCATAAATTAAATAAGCACGATCTCAAATGGAAGAGAGTTCAGAAATTCAGTTATTCAACTCTTCGGCAAAATTTTTCTTTTTTGGAAATTTCCTTGCTCAATTTTACTAATTTCGACACTACCTGCTTTTTCTCCCCTCTTTTTTTAAAAGTCCTCTTTCATTTAAACCATTAAATTCAAATTACTCCATGTCGCTCCATAAGAATGAATTATGTATAGTCAATTTTGCTTCTTTCTGATTTTTGACTCATGCATTTTTAGCATCACAATTTGAATATAGTATTATTACCGT